TACTGACCGTTTAATTGTCTTTATGTAACATTATTTATTAAAATGCAAGGTTACTTGAGTCAGAAACAATGAAAACAATAACTTTTTCTTGAGGTGTTTGCGATGCGGCTTCGTGTGCTCGGCGCTTTGGATATGACCGTGAACGCCTAGAAAACTAGTTTGGAGCGCGCCAGTACCGAATGGTTTAAAAAGACTTAAAAAGACGTGCAAATTATAAACTTTTGTGATGATGCAACACTGACCCGATTAGGCAAGTGACAGTTCTGTCAGCTGAGTGAAAGTCTTGTATGGCAGTGTGCAGCAGCTCTCTTAGTGCATACGAGATACGCTGATGTGAGGCAATTTTGAGAGTGTGAGAGCGAGAAGACGCGGTACAGCTGAACCACTCACGCTGTTTTAAAATGATTGACTTATTCTGATATTCTGTGTGAATTTTTTTTAACTCATCTAACCTACATTGTATATTAAATAAATGTTTGCGGGAATGTACTTATATAGAGATGTGTAAAATACATTTCCACGACTTTTCCAAAGCTTTCTGGGTTTTTTATGACCGTACGAACCCTGTAAATGGCTATTTTTATTTTTTTTTAATCGTTTTGATCAAATTTCTGCTCCACTTTGTGTGGAGGAAGTGAGACGGGACAAAGTCCCTGTAAGATATTAGGGAGCTAAAGGAACTGTTTAAAGTAGCCATGTGGTCACAAATTAATCGGCGATTCGGCGCCGCGCAGACGTGATTTAATACGTGTGTCCTTTTTTTATGTGAAAAAAAAAAATCATAAATTCCAGTTTATGCTGTTTGATTATGGCTATGAATGTTGTAGTTGGAAGCTGGAAGTTGTTAGCCCCGGCTGGCCCGTGTGCGCAGTTGAAATGCGGCTAATAATTTCTGACTGGCACATAACTGAACAAATGTAAACGGGTTAAGGCGGGGCCCCCTACAAGGCGGGGCCCCTGTTCTGCAGCCCATTCAAGCCCAATGGTAAGTCCGGCCATGTATGGAGATGTTCGTTTTTGCATCCCAAAACAGAACACTTGTTGTAATGCCTTTTAGGTGCTGACATTTTATATCCAGCCACAGCAAGACAACAGTAATGGCGTACTGCTGCTTCTCACTTTAGGGCTGTGTCTTTGCTAATAGGGCAGAGAGCATCACAAATGGGCGGGATGACCCCTACAATGGCGTCAACGTAGGGAGAAATCGGGAATCACTTGTTCAGAGAGACTGTTCATGATTTATTGGGATTATAGAAAAAATGAGTGGGTGGATTTTTACCATTAAGGCTGGCTGCTTTCACACACCTTGGCCACACAACGGCGTTCAAACACCTTACAAAAGTGATTTTCGCATACTAGGTCTCCTTTAAAGGGGTCATAATGATGCGATTTCAATTTTTCCTTTCTATTTGAAGTGTTACAAGCTCTTGATGCATAAAGAAGATCTGTAAAGTTGCAAAGACTAAAGTCTCAAATCCAAAGAGATATTCTTTATAAAAGTTAAGAGTCAACCACACCTACCTAAAACGGCTCGTTCTAACACGCCCCCACATATCTACGTCATGATGTGGGAAAATTTGCATAACGCTGCCCAAATGTTCACGCAAAGAAAGAAGGCGTAACTTTTATTCTTGCTGTAGTATTGTT